CATTTTTTGCAAAAGAGCAATAAAACTCCGTCGTCTAGGCATAGCCCATGTCATTCCAGTGTGGAAGATGGACAAACTCTTTGTGAGTCTTCCTCGTCCAAGCAGTTGATGATTTATACAGCGTGTTAAGATGCCATGTGAAACACTTGGCGTGTCCGCAGAGGGGCAGGATGTATTCTCTCTCTACAGAAAGGGTTGTTATGACTTGTGTCTCTGGGTGTGCAAGCCCTTTGTGAGCTCTGTGGAGAGCTGAGATGTTTCGATTTCCAGTTTCAAGGGGTTTGTTATTTTGTCTTTGGGCTGCACATTGTCTAGCTGAATGGAGTTAGCTGTGACAATGCATGTGTGAGTTATTCTGACACACAAAGTGAAACCTTTGCTAAATACCCCATGTCCAGTGAGAGAAAGCGCTGCTGTCAGAAGAAGTAAATTCAAAGTCTCTCCGATTTTCTTCAAAGATCGCCTCTACCAGGCAGTGGGGCTTTTGCTGATTGGTCCCTTATATTTTTGAAGGATGACTAAATGTGAACTGGATCTTCTTGGGTAATATCAACAGATTGCTTTAGATCCAATCCCATCTTACAGTTTAAACGGTATCCGGTGCTTTGGAAGGAGGTTGGGACGTGGTCTCATTAGGGATGTAAAGGACTAGTTGGCTATCCGCTGGGGCTCTTGTACATTTCAAAGGCGGGACGCAGAAGTGCTTATTGACTAGTTAGGTAGTCAATGGAAATTCCATCCACTACTTGACTAGTAAATTAATCGCTAGTTAATGTCCCTAGGTCTCATTTGGCAATTATTAGGTATTTACATAATGTAGGCATTGTAATCATGGGATTGACATATACCTTTCTCAGTAGCTTTACATGTAAAATAGCCCATATACTTCCATGGGAAATGTACTTTTCAAGCAGTGGTAGGGAGGGTTAGTGACATGGTCTTCTCTGCCCCATGATTGCCATGGGTAGTTCAGTATTGTCAATTTGGCTTGTAGAAACGGAACATGCTTGATAGTTTTGCAGTAACCTCAAAAATGCAGTTGCAGTCCATCTTCTTAGGGATGTAAATTCCATTTGTCAATTCACCGGTTAATGTTAGGTCACAATGGGGCTGCTAATAGCTCTCAGCCCCCTCTAGAGCAGCCCCTGCCCACTGCAAGCTGGACTCCCTACGGCAAGAGGCTGCTCTGGACACTGGCTCAGTCCCTGCTTGAGGGGCCCTCGGGTTTCCCAGAGACAGGGGCTACCCCACCTCTGTTTGCAGTGGGCCCTCTGCAGCGCTGGAGCAGCCCCCTGCCCACAGCAGGTGGGGAGCTGCTCCAGCCCCCTCTGATAACCAGTTAATTGGAACCGATAAGCACCATTGGTTAAGAGGGCTAAGGAAGTTGTCCCATGAAATTGTGGGATAGTTCTGGATGACTCCCAGACCCTGGGTCAAATAGGGTTGCATCTACATTGCCAAGTAATAGGTCTCGGATCCTGGATCTCATCTTGAATTGAGATTGGACCCCTAGTTCAGCAGTGTCATGGGACCCTAAGTCTGGGCCAATGCTATTGCAGTATAGTTGCATGGGGGGGGTCCTATACTGCCCAGACCCATCCCTATTGATAGAGGATGATGGGAGGAGTTCTTAGAGGGGTGACATGACACCTTTCCAGGTATGTGTGTCTCTTGACCCTGGAAGTACTCCCCCCCTGTGGTGGGTGGGCGGGACCTAAGGGGTCAGGAACGTGGCTAATGTGTCCCTATTTTTGATTCAGAAAATATGGTCACCGTACATATACTGCTAATGGAGACAGAGCAGGTATGTGCATATGGGGAAAAATTGAAGAGGCCTCAAAACTTCATAATTACAATGAGGAACTTTTTAAGTTTTCAGTTAGTCTAATCAGTAAGCATCACTTAAGTGTCATTTTGGCTAGTCCAAAAGGAATAATTATATTTTTCACATCCTATGGGTTTTTGTAGCAGTCCCATAAGTCTGTACATGCCACACATGCAGAGAATGTTCTCTAAAGTCTGTTTTCTTTTAGACTCTGATTTCTATATACATCTAAAGTAAAGACTTATCTCAGATTTACATTTGTATGAAAACAATTTGTGTAATATCAGCAAAACGTGGGGAAAAATATTTCCTCTGATTTTCTGGGAGAACCACATTTCCAAAAGTTACTTGCACATATGAAAAGCTTTTTTAAAAAAATTGCTAACTGCTTAAAATTTTTACTTGGTTATTTTAGAAGTATTGGTAAATGTGAAGAAATGCTTTCTGATGCATGATAAATGAATTAATTCTTTATGTATTTATGTAGTGAAAACCCCAGGCAAAAGAGGTAGACCTAGGAAAAGACCAGTTGTTCCACCACCTGAAACACCTGCTGAAACAGAGCAAGAAAAGTGTGACAAAGATACTAAGGAGGAAGCAGATAAAACAGAATTAGTGGAAGGCTCAACATCTGAATCCAACAAGGAGAAAATAGGAAAAGGTACCTTAACTACTCCAGAATCACATAGTTTGAGTGAAGACAGTCAGACTGCAACTGTTAAAGAACCAGATACAAAATCTGTATTACCTGCTCTAAATGCAAGTCTGCTGCCTGAGGTAGATGTAAAGCAAGAAGGCTGCTGTGAGATGCCTTCACAATCTTCTGAAAAAACTGTGAAAGGTAAGGTGCTGATCTAGAGATTTGCCATCTTGCTGCTACTTTTTTTTATTGGAATTTCATCCTAAAAGGAAGTTGCAGCTGTTTGCTTAATAGAATGTTGCCCTTTCAGGTTTTTTGGGATGGCTTAGGTGTATATGCATTACACAACAGGATAGAATTTCCATAGCTAGAATTCAAGAACAGTCCTTAGGATACTGATATATAACGTTCCCAACTTGTTTTCCACAGACCCCACACTCCTAGGTACAATTTGCCTTCTAGTCTCTGGCCCAACGTTCAAATTGAACAAATTCGCATTTGACAGGTTTTTCAGCAATTCATCCTAGGCTGGAAAGTTTCAAGCCATGAGGAGATACGGAAAGTCAGTACTTACTTGTGTTCCTATAGTCTATCTAGCCTTTAGAAAGTTGTTCCTTGATTCTGTTCTCATTCACGACAGTGCTTCTGCAGATTCACAGTATGAGATCACATGAATCACATCAAATCACCCATTTTCTAGGTCAGGAGAACATCTCAATTTGCATGTCTCCAGAAGCAAATGTTTTGGTATTACCTTGGACCAGGGGTGGGCAAAAATTTTTGATGGGAGGCTACTCTAAGATTTTGTAAGTAGTCAAGGGTCACATGTTTCCATGGAGTGGGTCTGGGACAGAGGCTGGATACAGAAGGGAGCTCGTGGTAGGGGATTGGGGTGAGGAGAGAATGTGGGGTCTGAGAAGGAGTTTGGATGAGGGAGGGGGGTTGTGATCTGGGGTAGGGCCTTGGGGTGCAAGATCTGGGTGGGGTTATGGGTGCAGGAGAGGATTTTCGCTTGGGAAGTGGGGGTGTTGGATTGGCTCCCGGGTCTGGGAGGGAGGGTGCAGAGGGTTTGAATGGTGACCTGGGGCAAGAGGGGATGGTGACACAGGGCACGTACTTAAGGGGAGAGGGACTGGGGTGCCAGAAGCCACAGGGAGCTATCAGCTGCTTAAAGTGGCATGGGGCTGCTTTGAAATGGCTGGCTGCTCTGTGCCTGAGGGTTCCAGGAGAACCAGCCAGATCTTGTCCACTCCCGCCTTAGACCAACTGACCCAGGAAACTCTTTCCACAGACCCTTACTGTCTGCGAGATGCAGCCCGTTTCTCCAATCCAAATGAAAGAAGTTGACGTGCAGTATTTTTAAAAATTCAGTATTGAGCAGCATGTCAGCTGGTTATACTGTAACATATGTTTATATTTCAATAGATTGAAATGCACGTTGCAGCAGTCTGCATGTCCTCCTAACTTCTTCGTTTCTGTGAGGGCACAGGCGTCAGTACCTACATCAGGAACTGAAATTTGATACAGACAAAGGCACAATGAGCTCTGATGGCTTCAAGTCAAAGCTAGACAAATTCAGACTAGAAATAAAGTGCAGACTTTCAGCCATCAGAGTAATTTAACCATTGGAACAACTTATCTAGGTATTTCACTGGAGAATTTTAAATGGTTTTTTTTTCCCTAAACGATATAATCTAGTTGTCACAGATATTGGACTTAAAATAGGAATCAGTTCATGGAAGTTCTGTGGCACGTGCAATGTAGAAAGTGAGACTTGATCACATGGTTGGCGCTGGAATCAGTTAATTCTGAGCTGATGACTCTACAAGGGAAAAATTGAGAGCAGTTGAGTGCTTCTTTTGTCTGTAGTGTGTAATTTTAAGTTCATCTGGTGATACAATCCCTATGTCTATTTAAATAAAAAAAATAAAACTTTGACTTGACCAGGCCAAACAGTATCAAAAGCAGTCAGTCATAGACCTGGTGTTTGCTTCAAAGTAAAGTCTGTTTTATGGCTTTAACAGATGAATTTGGATCAGGAGATACAGAACCAGAGTCTAAACGAAGAAAAGTGGATTCATCAGCGGATAAATCCAAGACACCAAGCACCCCAAAAGGTAAAATCTAAAATCTTGGCTTAAAGTTCTAAATCCTCCCAAAACTTGTTTCTTTGTTCCTATAATGTAGGTATTTACTACTATGATCACTTTTTGCATGATTGCAAATAAAACATAGGCATGAATGTGCTGGATAAACATATGATTCTGATGGATAGAAAGACTTTGTATACACTTGTGAGATAATTCAGCATTGTACAAGGTTTACTTCTAGTTGCTGTGAATGGTTTGCTAAGATGTTTTGCTCTGTATCACCACGCTGCAGTTAGACACCCATGGCTGATGCGTGCCAGCTGACTTGGCCTAAGGGACTGTTTAACCGAGGCTTAGACAGTGGAGCTCATAAAGGGGGGCTGACAGAATTGCCAGGTCCCTGGACAAGTTAGAGGGGCCTGTCTCCAAGCCTTTGTGCTTGCCGTGGTTGGCGGCTCTGGGACAACTGGAGGGGTTTAAGGCTTTCTGAATGCTAGAGTTGAGATGGCTGTGCCAACTGACCTTTGTGATGCTTATCGCTTTTTGATCATCTTAGTCTGTGATTGCCATAGTTGATTAATTGTGTTAATAGCCTTATTGTAGCCATGTTGGTCTTAAGTAGTTTATTAGAGATGCAAGATGGGTGAGAGAGTATCTTTTATTGGACCAGCTTTGTTGGCAAAAGAGAGAAGCTTGCAGAGAGGAATTCTTTTTGGGCGTGTTTGAGAATGTCTTTTGCAGAATTGCATTTAACAATTCCTTAAAAGATTTGTGTGTGTGTAATTTCCTTTGTGTTTTGTTAATATGACTTGATATGTAGAGCCCTGCGTGCATATAAAATTGGTATCTGCATCTTCATCTGCAAAAATAGGCATACCTGGGTTGTCGACAACTCCCTTTGATGTCGGCAGGGGAGCGTCCAGACTATCGCGCTGAGCCGACAAACAGCTGATCAGCTGTTTGTCGGCTCAGCGCGATAGTCTGGACGCTCCCCTGCCGACATCAAAGGGAGTTGTCGACAACCCAGGTATGCCTATTTTTGCAGATGAAGATGCAGATACCAATTTTATATGCACGCAGGGCTCTACATATCAAGTCATATTAACAAAACACAAAGGAAATTACACACACACAAATCTTTTAAGGAATTGTTAAATGCAATTCTGCAAAAGACATTCTCAAACACGCCCAAAAAGAATTCCTCTCTGCAAGCTTCTCTCTTTTGCCAACAAAGCTGGTCCAATAAAAGATACTCTCTCACCCATCTTGCATCTCTAATAAACTACTTAAGACCAACATGGCTACAATAAGGCTATTAACACAATTAATCAACTATGGCAATCACAGACTAAGATGATCAAAAAGCGATAAGCATCACAAAGGTCAGTTGGCACAGCCATCTCAACTCTAGCATTCAGAAAGCCTTAAACCCCTCCAGTTGTCCCAGAGCCGCCAACCACGGCAAGCACAAAGGCTTGGAGACAGGCCCCTCTAACTTGTCCAGGGACCTGGCAATTCTGTCAGCCCCCCTTTATGAGCTCCACTGTCTAAGCCTCGGTTAAACAGTCCCTTAGGCCAAGTCAGCTGGCACGCATCAGCCATGGGTGTCTAACTGCAGCGTGGTGATACAGAGCAAAACATCTTAGCAAACCATTCACAGCAACTAGAAGTAAACCTTGTACAATGCTGAATTATCTCACAAGTGTATACAAAGTCTTTCTATCCATCAGAATCATATGTTTATCCAGCACATTCATGCCTATGTTTTATTTGCAATCATGCAAAAAGTGATCATAGTAGTAAATACCTACATTATAGGAACAAAGAAACAAGTTTTGGGAGGATTTAGAACTTTAAGCCAAGATTTTAGATTTTACCTTTTGGGGTGCTTGGTGTCTTGGATTTATCCGCTGATGAATCCACTTTTCTTCGTTTAGACTCTGGTTCTGTATCTCCTGATCCAAATTCATCTGTTAAAGCCATAAAACAGACTTTACTTTGAAGCAAACACCAGGTCTATGACTGACTGCTTTTGATACTGTTTGGCCTGGTCAAGTCAAAGTTTTATTTTTTTTATTTAAATAGACATAGGGATTGTATCACCAGATGAACTTAAAATTACACACTACAGACAAAAGAAGCACTCAACTGCTCTCAATTTTTCCCTTGTAGAGTCATCAGCTCAGAATTAACTGATTCCAGCGCCAACCATGTGATCAAGTCTCACTTTCTACATTGCACGTGCCACAGAACTTCCATGAACTGATTCCTATTTTAAGTCCAATATCTGTGACAACTAGATTATATCGTTTAGGGAAAAAAAAACCATTTAAAATTCTCCAGTGAAATACCTAGATAAGTTGTTCCAATGGTTAAATTACTCTGATGGCTGAAAGTCTGCACTTTATTTCTAGTCTGAATTTGTCTAGCTTTGACTTGAAGCCATCAGAGCTCATTGTGCCTTTGTCTGTATCAAATTTCAGTTCCTGATGTAGGTACTGACGCCTGTGCCCTCACAGAAACGAAGAAGTTAGGAGGACATGCAGACTGCTGCAACGTGCATTTCAATCTATTGAAATATAAACATATGTTACAGTATAACCAGCTGACATGCTGCTCAATACTGAATTTTTAAAAATACTGCACGTCAACTTCTTTCATTTGGATTGGAGAAACGGGCTGCATCTCGCAGACAGTAAGGGTCTGTGGAAAGAGTTTCCTGGGTCAGTTGGTCTAAGGCGGGAGTGGACAAGATCTGGCTGGTTCTCCTGGAACCCTCAGGCACAGAGCAGCCAGCCATTTCAAAGCAGCCCCATGCCACTTTAAGCAGCTGATAGCTCCCTGTGGCTTCTGGCACCCCAGTCCCTCTCCCCTTAAGTACGTGCCCTGTGTCACCATCCCCTCTTGCCCCAGGTCACCATTCAAACCCTCTGCACCCTCCCTCCCAGACCCGGGAGCCAATCCAACACCCCCACTTCCCAAGCGAAAATCCTCTCCTGCACCCATAACCCCACCCAGATCTTGCACCCCAAGGCCCTACCCCAGATCACAACCCCCCTCCCTCATCCAAACTCCTTCTCAGACCCCACATTCTCTCCTCACCCCAATCCCCTACCACGAGCTCCCTTCTGTATCCAGCCTCTGTCCCAGACCCACTCCATGGAAACATGTGACCCTTGACTACTTACAAAATCTTAGAGTAGCCTCCCATCAAAAATTTTTGCCCACCCCTGGTCCAAGGTAATACCAAAACATTTGCTTCTGGAGACATGCAAATTGAGATGTTCTCCTGACCTAGAAAATGGGTGATTTGATGTGATTCATGTGATCTCATACTGTGAATCTGCAGAAGCACTGTCGTGAATGAGAACAGAATCAAGGAACAACTTTCTAAAGGCTAGATAGACTATAGGAACACAAGTAAGTACTGACTTTCCGTATCTCCTCATGGCTTGAAACTTTCCAGCCTAGGATGAATTGCTGAAAAACCTGTCAAATGCGAATTTGTTCAATTTGAACGTTGGGCCAGAGACTAGAAGGCAAATTGTACCTAGGAGTGTGGGGTCTGTGGAAAACAAGTTGGGAACGTTATATATCAGTATCCTAAGGACTGTTCTTGAATTCTAGCTATGGAAATTCTATCCTGTTGTGTAATGCATATACACCTAAGCCATCCCAAAAAACCTGAAAGGGCAACATTCTATTAAGCAAACAGCTGCAACTTCCTTTTAGGATGAAATTCCAATAAAAAAAAGTAGCAGCAAGATGGCAAATCTCTAGATCAGCACCTTACCTTTCACAGTTTTTTCAGAAGATTGTGAAGGCATCTCACAGCAGCCTTCTTGCTTTACATCTACCTCAGGCAGCAGACTTGCATTTAGAGCAGGTAATACAGATTTTGTATCTGGTTCTTTAACAGTTGCAGTCTGACTGTCTTCACTCAAACTATGTGATTCTGGAGTAGTTAAGGTACCTTTTCCTATTTTCTCCTTGTTGGATTCAGATGTTGAGCCTTCCACTAATTCTGTTTTATCTGCTTCCTCCTTAGTATCTTTGTCACACTTTTCTTGCTCTGTTTCAGCAGGTGTTTCAGGTGGTGGAACAACTGGTCTTTTCCTAGGTCTACCTCTTTTGCCTGGGGTTTTCACTACATAAATACATAAAGAATTAATTCATTTATCATGCATCAGAAAGCATTTCTTCACATTTACCAATACTTCTAAAATAACAGGTGTGTTCACATCTGAATGTCTCCCTTTTCTTGATGGCTCCTGCTCTCCCTGGTCTATAATTGTCTTCACTGCTTTGCTATGTTCTGAACTGCCACACTCAACACCGGAACTCCAGCTTACCTCTTTCTTTACTATTAATTATTTAATTAAAACTTTGAATGGTTGAGCATTTGAGGAAGATTTGGTCTTTAATCATGATTTGTTAACTTACGGTGCTCTTTCTGTGAAAACTGTTCTATACCCCATTTGTGTAGAGACCTATATGCCTGTGGGCGAGTTGGCATTCTTACATACACCAAATACTCAGAGGGGTAGACGTGTTAGGCTGAACTTCGAAAACAGTGGCACTTTCGGGACTAACCAAAAATATATATATATATATATATATCTCATGAGCTTTTGTGGAAAAAACCTACTTCTTCAGATGAGATGATCTTGAGAAGAAGTGTTTTTAAATATACCAAATACCTCATGCTGAGAAAAGAAATGGTGGAAGAATTATGAAAGCCTGTTGTAAAATTTAAAACCATTAATTTGGGATTAATTTTGGATTTAGTACCATATTAAAGGTTTATTTAATCTTCCAGTTCCCAAATTCTCAGTGCAAAAAATCTTCTAATTGATTTTAACCACTTGTTTAAAACTGTTTCCTGCAATCACAGTTGGATGGCAATAAGTAACAAGACTTACCATGGACATCTGGATTCAATCTTCACTGAAATCTGACTCACATTTAATTAGAGTAGAAATTTGTGATCTTAATAGTGGGATAAAATTAGACCGACACAGTCATGTAGCTTGAGGCTACATTTTTCAAAAGTTAGGCGCTCAGGAGACTTAGTTGTGTTAACGTTTAATGCAACTTGGGGTTCTAGCTGTGTGACTTTCAAAAATGGAATTTGAGCTCTGAAGTCACTTAGGCACTCTTAGAAATTTGACCTTAGACCTAATATGTGGATGTATTTTTAAAACTAACAATAGAAATCGTTTTAAAAATTGTTGATTCAAATATATTCCTGACCGCTTTTATTTCCAAGAAGTGAAATTATTGAAATTTCCTCATAAATTGACTACTTTTCACAGTTCAAACTGAATGAATTGCAGAAAATTAAAGTATTGATGGTCAGAAGTAGGTTTTTGAAAGACCTGTTAAAAGGGAGTGTTGTTGATGCCTAGGAAAGTGGCAAACTCTGCAATAAAATGAGCAAACAATAAATTTTTTTAAAGGGAAGAATAGATTCCATTGAAAACAGTCAGTATTAAGAGAACCCATACATTTTAGTATACACAATTATTGTGCTTCATGATACTATTTTGTTCCTGGTGTGTACTTGGTGCAAGTAATTTTTAAAACGACTGGATTTGGGAAGCAAGTACATGCACAGGGAAAAGGAATTTATTAGGAAATTGGAATCCCTGTTTGATGGCTGTATAAAATTGTTCTTGATCTAGAGTATGAAGAATATTATGTTTAGGGAGATCAGTGTGATGCAAAGCCTAACAAGGCACATAATTACAAATTATACCTTACATCTATTCCTAAAGCTTATGCTTCAGGGGGGTCAGGAAAGGTTCCTCCCTCAAAACCACAACATATTCCGAGTTTTCCTCGGTGTCTTGCTGCTGATTCATTGGCGATGGGGCACTAGAAGGGTGGGATAGTGCCCAGAGATGGCACTGAGCTTTTCTTTTGTGTGCTTAGCTGGCTGATTCTCACATTGGGAAGGAATTCTTCCCCCTAGGTCAGGTCAAGGATTTTAAGTAGCAAGTAAATGACTAATCGTGTAGTTGATACTATTTGTATTGAGTACATAATTAGTCGATAAGGGGCCGCTCTAGCCCAGCTCCTCCTACATTTAAACTGCAGAGCCCCTGTGGGGGTAGGTCCAGGATATGGCACGAGCCAGGACTGAAGCAGCCCCGGCCGCTGCTTTGTTTTTTAAGTGTAGTAAGAGCTGCAGTCCCGTGCTGCGCCTCTACCTTTTAATGTAGTAAGAGTTGGGTGGCTCTTGCTACATTTAAAAGGCAGTGCCTCTTTGCGTCTGCCTCTCCTCCCTCTGCTCCCCCTCCACACTGTGGAGACAGTGCTGAGGGGAACCAGCTTTTAAGCCAGTTCCCCCCCAGCACCAGCTCCTCCTTCCCCCCCCCCTCTTGCTGCCTCTGATTTAGAGGCAGCAAGAGGGAGGGAGAAATGCGAGTCGTCGACTCAAGCCCTAGGCTTATCAGGTAGTTGACTAATCGACTAGTCTTTTACATCCCTAGGTCAGGTAGTTGGCAGTGACCATGAAGATTTTCATCTTCCTTTGCAGCAGGCCGAGAAAGTCACTTGCCAGGACTATCTGGATCTAGCTCCCATAATTTCTTACCATTTCATGGGCCTTGGGAACTAGTGTAACCTCCACTCCTCCTGTTCTGTCTGTGATACAGAATGGGTTAGTCTTCTGTGTGCTGGAATACTTCAATAGATAATGGTTTAGTTGTTGGGGTTAGTGTGTGGGTGATGAGTTGGTAATTTCTTCCAGCCCTATCAAGCGGCCAGAGGCACACACTAAATTTAACTGGTAAGTAATCATGTAATTGAGTCATTGAAGCATTGTTAAACTCTCTCTCTCTCTCTCTCTCTCTCTCTTTTTTTTTAAAGATTTAGATTTTCTTGTTCCAAAGGCTGGGTACTTCTGTCAGATCTGCTCGCTCTTCTACGCAGATGAAATGTCTATGAAAAATCATTGTAAGACACTGCGTCATCAGCAGAATATGGAGGTAACCGTTTTTGCTTCTTTCCCTTTAAACCATAAGTAACAATGCATGTGAGATACTTTAAAATCTGTTTTGGTCTGTCGACTGCCAGTTACCTCAGGTAGTGGTTTTGCTAAACCAATGTGTGTTCTAGATGTAAACAATAGTTTGTAAACAAGTTGCAGATAGATGCAAATTGATTTTTTAAAATAATTTAACTGTCATGTTTGTGTTCTATAGATCAAATAAAATCACGTTTATAACTCAAGGGGATACTATTTAAATTAAAGAAATACAATTAACCCCTTAATAACCTTGGCCACTGAGTTAAATGCTGGGGAATCCCTGCCACACCTTCCTGGGTAAAAAGGATATTAATTTTTGTGCTACCTTTTGACAAATCTCCATGTTCATTGACAGACCTAAGAGCCTAGCCTTGCCAAATGTTGATTCATCAAGGCTCCAGACTAATTCAAATGGCTGTATGTGTAACTAAAATACTAATTTGACTATCAGAAAATTAATTTAGGAGTCAGTTACATCATCTCCCCAGTAGTGCAAGTGTGTGCTGTAGGAAAGTTAGAAAAGCATTGGTAAGTGCATTTTACGAGCAGACCTGAAGTTGAGAGACACTAGGTAAAATTAACTGGCAAAGTTGGTGGGGATCTGATCTAATCAATATCAGGCATTGGCTGGTTTCTGGATGTTCCGTATTAAACCATGCATAATATTTAGAACCTGGTGCCTATCCTGCCATGAGAATAAAGTACAGTAAAACTCCATTAGTCCGGCATCCAATGCTCTGGGACTCCTGATGGTCCGGCACCATCAGGAACCCGGAAGTGCTGGGGCAGCCGGACAGGCTTCCCCCATTCAGCTGCTGCTGAAGCTGACCAGCAGCTGAATCGGGGAAGCCAGGAGCAGAGCAGCTAGGGTGCTGCCGGATTGGTCCCGTAGTGCTGCCCCTCGGGGCTGCGGGACCAACCCGGCAGCACCCCAGCTGCTCTTGGGGACGCCTGGGGCAGAGCAGCTGGCGTGCTGCCGGGTTGGTGCTGCAGGACCAACCTGGCAGCACCCCAGCTGCTCTATTGCAGGCATCCCCGATTCAGCTGCTGCTGAAACTGACCAGCAGCGGCTGAATCAGGGACGCCTGGGGCAGAGCCGGACTATCGTAAGGGGGGGCTATGAGGGGTCTGGGGTGACATCCCCTCCCACCCCACTCCAGACCCCTCATAGCACCCCCTTCTGATAGTCCGGCATATCTGATAATCTGGCACCCCCTGGGTCCTAAAGGTGCCGGATTATCGGAAGTTTACTGTATGTACAGTGGTGACTTGTCATTGGCTACAAAATAAGATGTTTTAAAATCTTTTTTTCCCCCGCAGAAATTCATGGCCAAGCAAAAGGATGGAGGAGATGAGGAAGAAAATGAGGGGGAAGAACTTAGTTCAAGGTGATCCGAGGAGGAGAGAATTCTTTAAAAATTGAATTTAGGGTCCAGTAAATTTTGTGTCTTTTGTTTATGATTTAATTTGTAACTTTGTTTCAGAAACAAATTTGATGTTGTATAAATTTAAGTTTGTTAGACAAAAACAGAGAGAAGAAAAAGTGTATGCTGGTTTTGATTTCTATAGCAAATCTGTCTTGAGAGAGATCTCTTAAGTGTTGAAATAAATGTTCTTACTGTATAGTTAATACCATGTGGTTGTGTTTGGTGTAATTTCATGTCTGCTAATTTACTTACATCTCTGTAGAGGTTTTATGGAACCTCTTTCAGACATCCACACTTCGTGCTGCTTTGAAGATCTTAGTGTTTGAAACTTCAAACTTCACATGTATTATGTAGAGATGGGCAAATTGTCCTTCAAGTACAGCACATTCATCAAAATACATTTTTCAAAGGCATTACAATTATTTATTAATTCAGATATAACTTGATACATAATTTCAGTTGAAAAAACGGTAAAGAAAAATTGTGGAAATGTCAAAATAGTTCATTTTGAGTTGATATCTGAAACAAAATATCTTTGTCTCTCACACACAGAATTTTTTCAGTTGTTTGTTTGAGCAAGAAAAGCCAGAGAATTTCAACAGTGATTGGAAAAAGAAAATCAGTTCATTTTTAAGTGTTCGGTTTGGCCACAGAATGGAAAAATCAGTTGCTCACTGTTTCCTGTGTTCTAATGACCCGATCCCACACTTTTGGAATCAGTGCGGTTTTGTTATTGCGGTCAGTGGCAACAGTATTTGGCCCTAAATTTGCCAGGTATAATGTTTATTCCCCACAGTTAATGCTGAGTTATCTGAGCAAAAAGGTGTTGCATTATCTCATGGAAGAAAATAGCAAGGCCTTTGGGTAAAGCAGGCAGAACATTCAGCAGTCTGTCTGGAAGTGTTTGGCTTCGTCTTATACTTACCTCAGGCATTTTTGTAACCTCTTTCCCCCTCAGTCCCCCCAGCATATATCTGACTATCAGAATTCAGCCTTGTTTTCAGTGTGTTCCTTTCACCTAGATTGCTACCTGAAATTTTGTTTTCAGACCCTCTTTAACAGCCATAAATGTTGGATGGATGGCATTGTGGAGAAACCTTGTCCTGCCGGTGAGATGAATGTGAGCTCCCACTGGTCAAAACAAAGATTTGGTGGACGCTGGAAGTTGCATTGTGTTATTGGTACAGATATGTTTAGTGTAATGGCGTCTGCCTAAGAAAGATCCAAGGCCGAGCTGTTAGGGTGATAGAACTCCAAGTAGCAGTCTGGCCCACTGGACACTTGCAAATGCATATTCCTTTGGGGAAATGGGGGAGGGGATCCATGCACTCCTGTGAAACTCAGGCTCCCTCAAAAGTATGGATCCAGGGAGAACACCAGATCCTTCACTGTGGGAATGATTCCATTCTACTGAAGGATACACTCTCTGTTGGAAAAGGAGGCCAAATTCTTCCCTAAATTACGTCTGTGCACTGAAATCAGCGGGCATGACGGAGGGGACACATGTGTAACAGGGCAGAAGTTGGCCAAGAGTTTTCAGAAACAAAGAGCTTGTTTTCAAGCGTTGACAGAAGTGGATATAGCAAACGGTTTACGATAGGTGGATGTTGAAGCATTTATAAAAATTCTGAATGGCAAATGTTTCCCTCTGCAACTTTTGAACCCAGTTTTCAAAAGCTGCTCCCTGCCATTACAGGGATAAACTATACCAAACTGTTTTCACTTGAAAATTTTGTTCCGCATCTGTAACTTTTAAGCAGGTGATTTTTTTAAAAAAGTGTATTGTAGACTTCTGCGAGAGGATCATGCCCTGAAATGAGTTGAGTTTTTTAAAAAGTCCAATATATTAAGAATAGAAAAGAAGCAGGTGCAAAACGTAGGGTTCTTTTTACAAATCCAAGTTACAAAAGATCTCAAAGGAGAGACATCCAAAGGTCCACCTGACTTACGTGGAGAGATGGCTGCCAGCCTCCCTTCTATGGCTTTGGAAACCTCTCCTAGAATTATCGTACGGAGTAAACAAGTTGTGCAGTTTGAAAGCAACTGCGCAAAGTCGCTGGATAAAACCCTGAGCACGATGAGGGATAATGACGTATAAATTTGAAGGACCCACCCTGGCCCAATACAGTAGCTAGACCCCCAGGGGTGACCTGCTTGTACAAATCCATCCATACCATGCAAGCCTCCAACAGTACGCAGGTCTTCCATTGAAATCATTGGGTGTGTTCCTCATGTGCGACTATAAATCACTTAGATGACTCGAGGGCAGTGGCCTTCCTCTCTCAATCTCTGATGTCGTCTCCTGCCCCCACCTGAGGCTGCCACTCTTGAGCTAAAGCCATCCAGAGTTGGAGAACCTGCCCCTTCCCTTGGCGGCTTGCTCCAATAATTGCTCCCTCTCCCCGCTATAAATGGGCGCCTGCTTTTGAACCTGAACAATACATGCGGTCCCGGCTCCCAGGGTCCTACCAACAGACGCAGAGCAGCCCGGGGGGCAGCTGCTGAGTCCCACTGACATCTGTGTGGATCCTCTCCTAGGATCCAGGCCTGAGTGGTTCTGTGAACGGTTGTTAAACCCCTTGTTAACAAGAAACAGAAGCCCTGGGAGGGGGAAGTACGGGGCCTGGATCATACGGATCAGTGGCAAAGCTGGGTCTAGCCCCACTGCTGCTTCCTACAGCAAGGTGGGGATGGAACATGGGGGGGGGAGCGCACCCCTCTTTGCCCTGCTTACGCCCCCTTTTGCCCTCAAGCCGTGGTTCTGGGAGGGAGGGGCACAGACAGGTAAGGGGGCCAAACGGGGTAGAGGCAGAGCCCTAGGTATGTGGCCAGCAGCCAGGAGGGGTCCCTCTAAGATCTTCCGTCCATGAGCGGAAGGGGGTTTGTCGTATGCACCCATATTGTGGTCATGGGCACTTGTTTGGCTGGGTGCCACTGTGGCACATGAGAACGGCCACTCTGGGTCAGACTAAAGGTCCACCTAGCCCAGTGTCCTGTCTGCCCACAGTGGCTGATGCCAGGTGCCCCAGAGGGAGAGAACAGAACAGGGAACCATGTAATCCCTCCCCTGTCACCAACTTGCAGACAAACAGGTGAGGGACACCATTCCTATCCATCCTGGCTAATAGCCATTAATGGACCTAACCTCCATGGATTTATCTAGTTCTTTTTTGAACCCTGTAGAAGTCCTGGCCTTCACAGCATCCTCAGGCAAGGAGTTCCACAGGTTGGCCGCGGGCTGTGTGAAGAAAAATGTCCTTTTGTTTGATTTAAACTTGCTGCCTATTCATTTCATTTGCTGACCCCTCTTCTTATGGGACCAAGTCCATCACTTTTCCTTATTCACTTTTTCCACACCTGTCATGATTTTATAGACCTCTCTCCTATCTCCCCTTTTCAAAAACTGAAGAGTCCCCGTCTTTTTAATCTCTCTTCACATGGGGCCTGTTCCAAACCCCTCCTCATTTGTGGCCCTTTTCCAATGCCAGTACTGCATATCCTTTCGGAGATAAGTGACCACATCTGCACGCAGGATTCAAGCCGTGGGCACCCCATGGATTTAGAGAGCGGCACTACAAGATTCTCTGTCTTATTCTCTATCCCTTTTTACTGCTCTCCTAGGCTATGTCTAGACTGCAAGCCTCTTTCGAAAGAGAGCGTCTAGACTGCATGCGGAACTTTCGAAAAAGCAAGCCGCTTTTTCGAAAGAAAGCACCCAGTGAGTCTGGATGCTCTCTTTCGAAGAAGCCCTATTTACATTCAAGAACGCCTTCTTTCGAAAGAGCACTTTCGAAAGAAGGCGTTCTTCCTCGTGCAATGAGGTTTACTGCCGTCGAAAGAAGAGCCGCATTCTTTCGATTTAATTTTGAAAGAACGCGGCTGCAGTCTAGACGCAGGTGAAGTTTTTTCGGAAAAAGGCTACTTTTCCCCAAAAAAACCCTGAGTCTGGACACAGCCCTCGTGCAGAGCCCCCGTCCTGCTGCCTCACCTTGCTGGGACTCCGAGCTCAGCTCCCAAGCAGCGGGTCCTCCCCTTGTGGGGAGGGGAGACTTGCCCCCCATGGGGCTGGCTGAGAGTCCCCGCCTGGGCCAAAGGGAAGCTGCTGCCAGCACCCAAGGTTTGCAGGGAGGGCTGGGGGAGAGCGGGGGAGTAACGTGGGACCCTGAGTGGAGGGGAGGGGGGAAGCTGGCAGGGGGCTCAGAGCCAAAGGGCAGTGAGGGGGGAACGGGGATGGGAGGGAGGAACAAGGAGTCAGGGGGCACCAGGAGCGGCCCCAGCCCCAGCCCCACAGACCCGGGAGCAGGGAACTTTGGGCAACCAAACCCCTTGCTTCAGCCGCAGCAGTGCAGGGAAACCACGTTTCAGCTCCGTGCCTCAGTTTCTCTGTGTCGCACATGGATAACGGGGCCAGGAGCGAAGGTCAGTGATGTGCAGTGGCCACTCCCACAATGGGGATGACACAGGCTCTTGCCGGCCTGCAGGACCCCAGTCCCCAGGGAGCGGTGGGTTCTCCGTCCCCGCAGGCCCCGGCTGCCTGGCGGCTTTTCGGGAAGCTGTTTTAGCCAGATGCAAGGGGCAGGGCTCAGTAGACGTATAATGGGGGAAATATAACGGCCTGGCGAGATCAGGCTAGAGAACCGCCCCTTTGGTCTCAAAATCTGTTCTCGCTCTGCAGCAGGGCATGGACCGGAATGGCAGGGAGGGGCCTTGCAGGGATGGGGAGCCTACAGCCCCCAGGCCAAATGCGGCCCCCGGCTTGCCTGGATCCGGACCTGGGGCTTGGGTCTCCTCTCTCCCCCTGGCTGTTTGTAGCCATGTAGTTCAGGCCTCGTGCGGTGCGCAGGGTATCAGAGTCACTTTGCTTTCATTGGTTTTATGCCCCTTTCACCCTGTGTCAAACTCTAAGCCAGGGCCCCGTGTGGTGCCCACGGGAGACGGCCCCGGGGAAGGGAGGCAGGGCAAGCTAGCAGACAGAGCGTTGCCTTGGGCCTCAGGGCTCTTGGGTTCAGGGCTCGGCTTTGCTGCTGAACTAGTCATTTGATCCCTTCGTGCCTCAGTTTCCCCAACTGTACAGTAAAGATACTTGGCCAGTGCCGGGTGTTGGTGTCCTCTGAGAGGGTCACGATCAGGCCCCCAGGCAGAAAATTCAGGTTGAAGGGAGCGTTCCCCCAAAACGCTCTGCTGTGCTATTGAATGTGGAGAC